GTGAATGCCATTTACCTCATCAAAAGACAGTATGTGTATATTATACTCCCATTAAAGTGCTCAATAACAATTAACAATTAACTCAATCAGTTTAATTGAGGTCTGGAGCTGGCATGTCAGTAACTGCTAGTAGTCCTTTTTTAATTTATGTATCATTGTCATTTTGCTTAGTTTCTTTTGTTACATATTCTGACATCGGACTCGGACTTCTTTTAAACTGAGTTTTACTGTGCGTATCGCTGTTTGTTTCTTTAATCTACATTGGCTAGAGGTATAGGGGGAAGGTTGGGATCTCACAAAACATGTTTAACCCCGCCGCATTTTTGCGCCTTTCCCAAGTCAGGAGCCTCTGGCCTCTGTTAGTCTTGTATGTTTTTTTAATTTTAGTTCATTTATATGTTTTGGAGTTTAGTATGACGTCCATTTTCACTGAACTAGTACACATTTTATTTAGGGGCCAGATGATGACAACCTCCGGCTGCGGGAATTTCTCGCTGCGTTGAAGACCCGTTGGTGGCCTTCGGCTGTTATCTGCTCTTTGGCCGGGTTGTTGTCTCTTTGACATATTCACCATTTCCATTTTCAATTTTATACTACTCCCGTCGTTATACTCCTTTAGAGTACATAAAGTACTCAAAAACTACATAACCAAGTATACTACTCCCGTCGTTACACTCCCGTTGAAGTACTCAATAACTACATAATTTTAAAGTTTGTTTCTCAGTCGTTACACTCCCGCTAAAATACTCAATGACTACATAACCAAGTATGTTACTCAATAACTTCTGTACAAAATATGTTACTCTGCCGTTATACTCCCGATAAAGTACTCAATAACTATATTACCTAGTATGTTACTTAAAGTACAAAATATGTAACTCTGTTGTTATGCTCTTATCAGTGGTAAAGTATTCTTAAACTATATAACCAAGTATGTTACTCCAGTCGTTACACCCCTCTTAAAGTAAATGTACTAAATAACTGCAAAACCAAGTATGTTACTCCAGTCGTTACACCCCTCTTAAAGTAAATGTACTAAATAACTGCATAACCAAGTATGTTACTCCAGTCGTTACACCCCTGTTAAAGTAAATATACTAAATAACTGCATAACCAAGTATGTTACTCCAGTCGTTACACCCCTGTTAAAGTAAATATACTAAATAACTACATAACCAAGTATGCTACTCCAGTCGTTACACCCCTGTTAAAGTAAATATACTAAATAACTGCATAACCAAGTATGTTACTCCAGTCGTTACACCCCTGTTAAAGTAAATGTACTAAATAACTACATAACCAAGTATGTTACTCCAGTCGTTACACCCCTGTTAAAGTAAATGTACTAAATAACTACATAACCAAGTATGTTACTCCAGTCGTTACACCCCTGTTAAAGTAAATATACTAAATAACTGCATAACCAAGTATGTTACTCCAGTCGTTACACCCCTGTTAAAGTAAATATACTAAATAACTGCATAACCAAGTATGTTACTCCAGTCGTTACACCCCTGTTAAAGTAAATGTACTAAATAACTACATAACCAAGTATGTTACTCCAGTCGTTACACCCCTGTTAAAGTAAATGTACTAAATAACTACATAACCAAGTATGTTACTCCAGTCGTTACACCCCTGTTAAAGTAAATATACTAAATAACTGCATAACCAAGTATGTTACTCCAGTCGTTACACCCCTGTTAAAGTAAATGTACTAAATAACTGCATAACCAAGTATGTTACTCCAGTCGTTACACCCCTGTTAAAGTAAATATACTAAATAACTGCATAACCAAGTATGTTACTCCAGTCGTTACACCCCTGTTAAAGTTAATATACTAAATAACTACATAACCAAGTATGCTACTCCAGTCGTTACACCCCTGTTAAAGTAAATATACTAAATAACTGCATAACCAAGTATGTTACTCCAGTCGTTACACCCCTGTTAAAGTAAATATACTAAATAACTACATAACCAAGTATGCTACTCCAGTCGTTACACCCCTGTTAAAGTAAATATACTAAATAACTACATAACCAAGTATGTTACTCCAGTCGTTACACCCCTGTTAAAGTAAATTTACTAAATAACTGCATAACCAAGTATGTTACTTTAGATGAATAAAACATATTTCTCATTAATTATTTTTTATATTAATAATTTCATTAATCGAATGTATATAATAATTCCTCAGCCGTATGTATCCTTCGTTTATAATTTCAGAGGTTGGTAATGACCTGGTAATAAATTGCTAATATCTTCAAGACATCTTACCAAATCATGTTGGGGGGGGGGGGGGGGGGGGGGGCTCAATATCGTTCAAGACAGAGAGGTTAAAAACTTTTTGAAAAAAGGACCAAACTATCTTTTGATTCCTATTTAAATAAATGTATGAATGTTGTCGATATTCGAATATCACATTTTGAAAATAATTCAGAAATAAAGAAAAGGGTACATTAACACCTATTTCTAGAATAAGAAATAATCTTCAAGAACTTTCAAAGCAAAGAAGCCAACAATGTGGTGGTGGTGGTGGTGGTGGTGGTGGTGGTGGTGGTGGTGGTGGTATGCCGTAAATACTACACGGACGTTCTTTAGAATGAAATTTTAATTCATCTTCATTCAAGTCCGTGCGCTCCACAGAGAGTCATATAGTAAACAAACATATCATAACCACATCACAGCTTAAGGCCTCTTCTGAACATTTGAAGGTCCCTACTATGTATTTGTTACGTAAACTACACAAAAAAAAAAACAGTAAAATATAGTTTCATCTCAGCCTCTAGTAAGTGTTCTACAACTTATCTTTCAGTGCTTTTAACTTGTTCTTTAACTACTATCAAAGACCTATCATTAACTTTTGTAATAAAACATATGAAAGTAGTGGAATTAACTATTTTTGGAGTGTAAAAGATTCTTTGGATGTTTTAGATAAATTACGTGCTTTTGATGGTAATTTTGGTTCTGTTTACAGTTTTGACTTTTCAACTCTTTACACTACACTTCCACACAATCTAATCAAACAAAAGTTTTCCTGTTTAATTAAATGGTCGTTCGGTAAATCTGAATGCAAATATATTTGATGCAACTCATTTAAAGCCTTCTTTCCTAATGAGAAAAGTAAATATGCTAGATATACGTACTGGAGGTGTGATGAAATGATTGAAGCTGTTAATTTTCTCCTTGATAATATTTGTGTACGTATACGTTTTGTCAATAAAGTTTATCGACGGGTTGCATTTATTCCTATGGGCACTAATTGCGCCCCTTTAATAACAGACTAACTTGTTCTTGTACTGTTATGAATCACAGTTTATGACCAAACTCAGTAAAGAACCTACTAAATTCCATTTAATTGATAAATTCAATAATACTTACCGTTATCTTGATGATATTTTTTCATTAAATAATCAAGAATTTTCTAAATATACTCCCGAAATTTACCCAAAGGAACTTACTTTAAATAAATCAAATATAAAAGGCAATAACTGTCCTTTCCAAGATTAAGGTATTTCAGTTTTACATTGGAAACTCCACACTAGAATTTACGACAAAAGGACGATTTTTCGTTCCATATATATTCTTTTTTGGATGGTGATGTTCCTTTAGCACCATCTAGCGTAATCTATGTATTACTGGTAAATGATTAAGTCAGGGATTTTGTTACCCCAAATTACTTAAAACCTTTACTAAATTCTTTCATAGATATAAATATTTGGTTTTGAAGTTTGGTTGTTCCTGTAGAAAGGGATAGCACATCTTCATTTTTACGCAGATGTTGTTTACCGCTCGGAAATTTATAAACGACCCTGGTAAACTTCTCGATCCTTTGAATACACTTATTCTAAAAGATTACCATTTCAACACTGTAATTAGATCTTTGAATATTGTTTTTATTGGTATTAATATTAATTTTTTTAATCAGTAAATTAAAAGCAAACTAAATATTATATGCATATTCATGGCTCTACAATCTGTCGATACATGTATCTTGGCATTGCACAAAATCCTGTTTTTCTCTGACTGTTTATGGCGTCTTTATACTAAATCCATTGGATGTTGGATGTGTACTGATTGATAATTTAGTCTTGGATGCATGATTTTTTTTTATTAGTTGTTATTGGCTTCGAACTAGCTGTCAGTAACTGCGAGTACTATCAAATCTGCACTTAGTGTCTTTTTTGTTGTTGTTGGGATGTACAAGTACCCGGCCACGTTCACTCTGTGATTTTTTTATATGTATTTCTATTTGTATCCATCTGATGAGTTAAGCGTTTTTCAACTGATTTTTATAGTTTGTTCTTATGTTGTACTTTTACACCACTGTCCCTGGTTAGGGGGAGGTTGGACGCCCACTAACATGTTTAACCTCGACACATTCTGTATGTGCCTGTCCCAAGTAAGGAGCATGTAATTCAGTGGTTGTCGTTTGTTGCTGTGCTACATATTTGTTTTTCGTTCATTATTTTGTACATAGATTAGGCCTTAGTTTTCTCTTTTGAATTGTTTTACATTTGTCATTTGGGGGTATTTTATAGCTGACTATGCGGTATGGGCTTTGCTCATTGTTGAAGGCCGTACGGTGACCTATAGTTGTTAATTTCTGTGTCATTTGGTCTCTCGTGAAGAGTTGTCCCATTGGCAATCATACCACATCTTCTTTTTTATATATACAAGACAGCTCAAGCCGCCCAAAATGTGAACTGAATATCATAGATTAAGAACATTAGAAACTATACAGAAGTATGTAGGGAGCATACTGCATATCGAAAAATGTTCACTATTTTCGCTGTTGACATTTAACCGCGAAATGTACACTACTCATACAGTTCTTTGTTTATTTCAAACACGAATGATGAACTTCCCAAAAAATCAAGTTAACTGTCCAATATAAGACCCAAACGGCAAAACAAAAAACACAATGGTATAACAACTAGACATACGCCATGATGGCATCGTAATCTATATGGTCATCTGGTTAAAATCACTTAAAAAGATTATTAAAAAATATTTATTTCTTTGGCAAAGTAATCAACAATATATAATAATTTGCATCCATTTGAAAACAATCATTACATACACACGAATGGTAATAAAGATATATTGACTACAATGTGTAAAACTTGAGCGTGATTTTAATATTATTTGAAAATTTTAGTGTTAACATTTCGCCATTTCTCGTTACCATGTCATATATTTTAATTATTCTTATACAGGATATTCATAATACAATGTTCATACAAACAAACACAAACACACATTTACTTTTAAAACCAAGCTTCCCCAGTAAAAATAAGCATGATATATATATATATATATAAATAACTTATGAATGCATGGTGATTTTAAGTTTTAATGAATACGATTTAGAAATAGGCAAAATGATGAGGAAGAAAAAAATGAATTGTTATTTTTCGTACAAATACTGGTAAAAAACACTAATTACACTTAAAAAAAACCCTAAAAGACGAAACTGTTTGCTCTTAATGAAATTGTACAGGGCGAATTTTGACATATATCAGACAATTTTCGTCTCTTTTGTTGAATAAAAAATGAGGTTCCTCATAGGGCTACCTGGTAATCGAATAATCTAAACAATTAATCTTTGAAAATTAAAAAATGAAATTGGATACATTTAAAACAAAAGAATTGATAATTCCATATCCAACCCCCATGAGGAGCCTCATTAATAAATAGATAAATACAAATAAATGAATTAATAAGACTAGTAAAGAAGTCAAAGTTATCCCACTTAAATCTTTTTTGAATATTGTTATTTTTTACTTGGCACAATCATGCCGTGCATTTTCGCCCCGTTTTCCAAACTAGTCATTAGAATCATCTTGCGCATTGTTTTAATACATGTTGACGGTGATATGCATAGGGATGTATCCTTTTCTAATCTAAGATTTGTTTCCTATTTTTCTATGGTCCGTTCTTTCCAAAAGGGTTTCACACCTCTATGCATCGTCATACAAACGTTTTCGTTTAGAAGTACACAGGAGCAAGATCTTATCATAATCACTTTTGTTTTACGAAAATATCTCTAAAATTGCGGCGCTGTCTTTCAATATGAAACAGCTATATTACGAAAGGACTTGTTTGGAATGAGGGAGGGGTCAGAATGCGGATAGATTGTGTCTTCTAAACAAGAACTTCCAAATCTTCAGCAAGATGCAAGCTCACGATTTTAAATGCGAATTGTCATAACGTAATCATTCAGCTTTAAGCAAATGTCTACACTGAGCATTTAGTCTGGCATTCAAAACTGTCTTAATAGTCTTCCGAAAGTGACTAGTTTGATGGAATGACGTCATCTCATGTTGAACGCTGAACACTAAGTTGTTATAGGCAAGTTCTTGCATCATGTCAATTGAATTTATTAGATGTAAATTGGTATTGTAGAGATTGTGAGAAGGCAGCTTCACGGAACCTTCGTCATTACCAATTATCACGATGATTGTCGCTGAAAAAAGAGAATTAGTCAAATTTTAATTTTAATGTAAGGGAACACTAAGGGAACGACCATTTAACTTCAAGGGGGTTTATGAGTTTTTTTCCTAAAAAAATATTTGATCCCCAATTTGATAAAAAAAATATTCTGGTCAAGCAGATGACAAAAAAAAAATATTCTGAATCCAGATTTCCCCCATACCTTATAGTGTTGAATTTTGAAAAAAAATAATTTGATTGATAGCGTCGAAATAGTAAATAAAAATTTCTGACTCAGAAAAAAAACCATACCCCCCCCCCCCCCTTTTTGAAATTAAATGGTTACTCCCTAACGAAGATTGTTTTGAACAATGCCTTTTTTCAACTTCAGATATTGTCTTGCACTAATATAGTTGTTAACAATGCCCCTTAGTGCTACAACAATGACACCAAGGTTCCTCCTTTTGTTGTTAGTTACTAACAAAATCAGGGGATTTCATGTGTTAACAAAGTCTTTTAGTCAAATTAAGATTTAGGGCATTATTTCACTAAAGTTTAATATTGTGTTGGCGTAAATGTAGAAATGTCAACCATCCACATCACAGGTTTAGTCATATTTCAAACAAAGTACCAATGAAAATATTTTAGAGCCAAATTTAGTGTATACTACTCGAACCTCCAGACATGAACATTGCAGAAAGATCTAGGAAAGGATGTCACGATCACCTCAATACATCTTGCCATATAAACATGTATTCGTAAAGTACTACGTCCTGCAGACATTGTCTGTGAAATCATTGAAACTTCAATACCGGTTAATCCGAATAACCAGTTAGTTAAAAATGTTCGATTTGACAACACTAGTATAATAACACCCCAGTGTCATTTAAGTAGAAAATAAAATCTAAATATTGTATCAGTATTCTGCAGTAAAGGATCCCTACAAATGTTGTTGAAATACTTATGCACGATATCGTGAGTAGATTCGGGTGTATACTAAATAGTGTTTCAAGTTATCTTTATTTTGGAATGAGAAATTAATGTGTAAAGGGGAGAAAACTCTAATGTTGTAATACTTTTGCAAGGGGAAGAGACTAAGATTGTATGTACTTTAACAGATCTTTGGGAATTTTTTAGTATCCAAACCGAGAGAAGGTACTAGCTTCACATGCAATTATTCTAAAACCATACTTTGATTGCTAATACAATTGATGTTATTGATTTAGATAGAGAGTTCGCGGAGCGTTTGGAAGACAGAATAATACACAATAAAGCGTTGCCTGTAAGGACACTTATGTAACTTCGGTATCCAAGCAATACAGTAAAGAAAGATCTATTTCTTCATCTTTAGTTGCGCTCATTTACATGTTTAACCCCGCCCCTTTCAGCATGTGCTTGTTCCAAGACAGGAGCATGTACTCAGTGGTTGTCATTGGTTGCTATCTGTTAACTATGTTTTTCAATTAATGTTTTTTTACATAATTATGGCCGTAAGTTTTTTCGTTTGAATTGTTAACATGTGTTACGTCGAGGCCTTTTATAGCCAATTATTCGGTATGGATTTTGCTCGCCGTAAGGTGACATATAATTACTTAATGTCTCAATGAAAATCCTATATCATATCTCCTTATTAATCTAAATTATTCAATAACTGTGTTTTTTTAAGTATTTTTTTAAGCTTTTCATATTCAATTCTGTACGATATTTCTTTAACTCAATATGTCTACAAAACACCAAATAGTTTGTAAGACACAATAGATTTACTTTTTGATAAAATTTGGATTTTCATATAGTTTGGCCATGAGCATCACTGAAGAGACATTTATTGTCGAAATGCGAATCTGGTGAAGAAAATTAGTACCGTTCATGTTATATTTACCATACTGTGTCTAAAAGAAAGAACACGATGTCTTACATGCATGATTTTTTTTTATTAGTTGTTAGTGGCTTTGAACTAGCTGTCAGTAACTGCGAGTACTCTCAGATCTGTACTTAGTGTCTTTTTGCTGTTTGGATGTACAAGTACCCGGCCACGTCCACTTGTATTTGTAGTATTTGTATTTTTATCCATCTGATGAGTTGAGCCTCTTTCAACTGATTTGTATAGTTCGTTCTGATGTTGTACTGTTACACCACTGTCCCAGGTTTAGGGGGGTCCCGCTAACATGTTTAACCCCGCCACATTCTGTATGTATGTGCCTGTCCCAAGTCAGGAGCCTGTAATTCAGTGGTTGTCGTTTGTTTATGTGTTACATATTTGTTTTTCGTTCATTTTTTGTACATAAATTAGGCCGTTAGTTTTCTCGTTTAAATTGTTTTACATTGTCATTTCGGGGCCTTTTATAGCTGACTGTGCGGTATGGGCTTTGCTCATTGTTGAAGGCCGTACGGTGACCTATAGATCTTAATTTCTGTGTTATTTGGTCTCTTGTGGAGAGTTGTCTCATTGGCAATCATACCACATCTTCTTTTTTATATATACGACATACGGTATGCTTCTTTAATGTAAAGTCAGTGGCGGATCCAGAAAAGTTTGGGCCCACTGACTGCCTAAGAGGGGCCCCGCTCCGGTCATGCTTCAGTGATTCCCTATATAATCAACCTAATTTTTCCCAGAAAAGAGGGGGCCGGCCCCCTCGGCCCCCTCTAAATCCGCCTCTGTTAAAAACTCTGAATGGAAAGTGGCTTTGTATGCCTTAAAACAATCGTTTGTGTAGCTTTTTTGTGAAATGAAAGACAACTCCTACTCAAATCGGGAGCAACTTGTATTTTTGTTTATACGCTCTGCTTTTAAACACAACACATACACTTCGTTAAGTAGACCATACTATGTATTTGAAGGTTAGAATTCATTGTCAACGTCGCCATGATAAATTATTTTTCAATTACATACCTCCAAGTCGTTTCATTATCTTTAACGAAACAGCCAAAAGGTCACGACCTCCGTTGGTATGGTTACCATGACTATTACAAATTACGATGAAAAGTTTAACATGTGGAATGCTGTTTATGTCTTTCTGTGATTCTATCATGAAGTACGGATGCGAAACAGCGGCGACTTTGACGTCGTAGAACTGGTTCAACATGGCCTCCACCACGTTTGTGTAGACAGGGATGTTTTCGTACTTGAAGAGCACGATACAGACTTCGTTCTTCAAAATTCCTAATTTTGGTATCATCGATATGTTAGGAGAGTTAGTCTGCTGTAAAAGATATAAGATGCAGATGTAAAAAAAGGTTTTACTTCAAAAATTGTAAAGAATTAAATTTATCAAAGTGTCAGAACTTAAATCTTTCCTCGTAAGATTTCAAAAGAGTACTCCAAAACTATATGACCTTAAGAATGTTCGCTACTTTGATTCAAAATAACAAGCTTTTTATAAGACTGTTATAAATTGATAGGATATAAATAAAGAAGCTAAAAAAGCAGAAAAAATGAAGGGTCCGTGTGCTTGTTTTCGAGATATAAGCCATTGAAAATTTGGCGGGAAATAATTCTCTGTAGATTTTTCTTACACTTAACATTTGCACCTTTTCTGTTTAAAAAACGATGAAAAAATAACAAGGATTTTATAAGATTTTTAAAGATGACATTTTAAACTATATGTAATTAAATTATGGAACGAAAAGTAGGGGATAATGGGCAAAAATTTTAAAGGTATTACATGGATAAAACCAGAGGATTCCGAATATCTGGCAAAAAATCAAAAAGGAGCGAACATCCTTGATTAGATTTCGCCAACCGCACAGCGATATTTTCAATTCGGTGTTTGGACAGTTTCAAAGAAAGGCGGAGCTATCTAATCGTTAATACCTGAAGAAAAATGCAAACAGATGTTTGTGTATAGTGAATCTTATAAAGAAATTGAATGTTTTTTACTTTATGAAATATTTTAGTTCGACGGCACATGGTTTCATTGTTCGAAATATATTGTTAGTAGAGCAAACGGTGCTTATTGGTCGAAATATATTGTCAGTGGAGCAGACAGTGCTTTCATTGGTCGCAGTGTATTGTCAGTGGAGGAGACTTCATAAGTTTGATTTACTTGTGTCTCATCATTTTGCTTAGATTTCGCGGCAAATAAAATATGTTTACCATTATTTCGTCAAGTTGGTTATTTATTTTCTATTCCTTATTCGTTACTTATTCCTTACTATTTATTCTATACTTATTCCTTGTTACGTATTCGTTCATTATTCCTTATTCCTTGCTTATGCCTTATTCATTACTTATTCCTTATTCGTTACTTATTGGCTTTAAATATGTTGACCCTTTTTAATGCTTTCTTTTCTTTTCTTGGCCCTGGTGTTAGTTACGGGTTCGAGGAGGTAAAATTACCCTGGTAGCGCGTATGTACCCGTTTCCGATCTCGACTGATACTCTGTTACTTACTCGCCATTAATTCGTTCCTTATTCGTTCTTTATACGTTGCCCCTTTTTGATGATTTCTGACGTACACCAGAGACAAGAAAATGAAAAAGGAATAAGGAATAAGTAACGAATAAGACATAAGTAACGAATTGTAAAGGAATAGGGAATACGTATAACGAATAAGGAACAAGAATCTCACCTTACCTATTGTTAGTGCGGATTTCATATAAGCCCTCTATTTGAAGGTTTTGTGGTTGCCTGCTCTATTTGATAAACTAGTATTATATGTGAATATCACAGATCGTCACATATCTGTTCTGTTCGCCATTGATTCTATCATATTTTTTTTCTTTTCTCCGCTGTATTTGACGTTGGAATTTCAATGTTAGTACTGAACCGCCGGTGTTATAGAGTCATCCCCCCTCATGCCAGTTTTTCCGCTGAGGGGAAAAATGGCATAAACTTATAAGTTTTAGATCATTGTCATTCTTTCCCCGCGGAAAGTTGATAATACGTATACAGATGGCATTTTTCCCCAATACCCCTCCCCAAACAATATGGATTTCACTATTTATATCGTCAAAATTGCACGGCTATTTATTGTAGATATTTTCCGTATTTTTGAAGAAATAATTGATCTCTGGTTAGGAGAGGGTTGGCGACTTCTGTATGTGCCTGTCCCTTTAGTTAAGTGGTTGCCGTTTGTTGCTGTGTAACTTATTTGTTTTTCTTTCATTATTTTGTACATAAATTAAGCCGTTGGTTTTCTCGTTTGAATTGTTTTACATTTGTCATTTCGGGGCCTTATATTTATAAATGACTGTGCGGTATGGGCATTGGTGACCTATAGTTGTTAATTTCTGTGTCATTTGGTCTCTTGTGGAGAGTTGAACATATGTTGAAAATCAATTATCAATTAAAGGATATAAAACTTCTTTTAATAATTTTAGCTTTACCACACCATCATCGTATCATTATACATTTACTATCAGATGATTTATTTTTGTATGAAGCATAGTATGATTTGGTGCTCACATCCATTCTCCTCCGTGCACCCTTGGTATGTGTTACTTGACTTGTAGGACGTCGTAAGCAATGGGTCAGAATATCTTGTGAATATTTAACAAATTCATTCTTGCGGTGAAAGTGTAAATCTTCAATTTCTACAGTAGAATTTTAACATCCACAGTTAATATGAATTGAAACATTGGAACACATGTTCATATCAAAAGAATATGTGGTTTGATTGCCAATGAGACAACTCTCCACAAGAGACCAATTTCACAGGACAAATACTTGAAAATCCGCTTCTGTCTGGTGAGGTGTAGTTTTTTTTAATACAAATGTTTACCGCTATAGCGTCAGCAATGTTAAATACCTGAAACATAACCTTTTTCTCCTCCTTTCTTATCATGATGTCTGTTTCATCCTTCGGTCTGTCTATTTCATTCTCTGTCATACCATTCATGACTGCACCATTCATGTGAGCCTTCTTTGCTCTCATGGTGGCTATCTTACTCTTTATCAGATCAACCAACGGTCTCACGTGAGGTCTAATTTGTCGAACCACCTCAACCATCACAATGACGAATAAGATGAAACCGATTATTTCTGAAAAGGGAAATATTGGACAATTTATTAAACTTTTGGCAATGAATTTTCTAGCATGGCTTGTTAGTATTGCTGATAAGTAATTCTATATTTACCAGTGAAATTTATCTGGAAAATGTTGCATTGACCTCGGGCATTCGATTGAGTAAGCTCGAAAGGTTTATTTGGATTGTGTCATCACATGAATTATCGAGAACGCTGGCAGTACTAAAGGTTGCCATTTAAAGAGCCTTAAACTGCGACTTCGCAGGAAGGAAATTCATTGATGAGGGCTATACTTTTATATGTGTTTTTGTGTCAATATATATATATATATGAGATACAATAATAAAATGTGGACACATGAAAATGGCTCGATTATTTTTGTGGTATCCTTTAAGTAACAGCAATTTTGACTCTAAGATCAATAAAATGCAGTTTTTCTCTTTATTAAAGGATCAATTAAAAGATTGGTAAATTTCATTTAAAATTTTGTCGAATCATAATCTGTACAAAGATGATCTAAAAAAAGAAAGAATGAACTTCATAACCTCAACACAATTTATCAAATACTACAGTAACCTCATACGTCAAAGACAAATTACATCTTGTACTGAACAATAACAGTAACAAAGGGACAAGAAAGGCAGAAGTTTGAAATAAAAATCTCTTTTCTGTGTGAACTATAAGATCAAAACTTGGTATAGTCGTAATATTATTCATTAATAAAACCAACATAAATATAAATGTTTCTTCTGCTTCTTCTGCCAGATAATGGTCACAATTAACAAACTGATTATACTGCCATGGATTTGGTGCGCATACTAGACCCCCTCCCCCAAGAGAAATAAGATAAATATTTGTAAGTTTGTTATCTAAAAGCGCCAATTTTGACAACCATTAACGGACATAGTAAGCCTGCAGGAAGACACATTACCCTTTTTGTTCTTGCGAAAAACAGCTAATTCTTTGTTTAATTAAAGCTCTTCATACTTGTATATGGCTTGGTCCGACCGGGATGGAAGTCTATGGATTGGTCCAGTCGGGATGAACGTTTATGAATTGGTCCGGCCGGGATGGAAGTCTATGGATTGGTCTAGTCGGGATGAACGTTTATGAATTGGTCCGACCGGGATGGAAGTCTATGGATTGGTCCAGTCGGGATGAACGTTTATGAATTGGTCCGGCCGGGATGGAAGTCTATGGATTGGTCCAGTCGGGATGAACGTTTATGAATTTGGTCCGGCCGGGATGGAAGTCTATGGATTGGTCCAGTCGAGATGAACGTCTATGAATTGGTCCGGCCGGGATGGATGTCTATGAATTGGTCCGGTCGGGATGGAAGTCTATTGATTGGTCCGGCCGGGATGAAAGTATATGGCTTGGTCCGGCCGGGATGGAAGTCACAGTCTCTTGTCCTCAAGCCAATCTCGCTACCGGAATACATCTGACAGTCAGATAAAGGGGTGTACTGGATGAACGCCTCCCCTATTTGATAAAAAAACCCAACTTTTCCGCTTTATGGAATTACCCCCTCCCCCCTCCTTTTTTCAAAAATCCTGGATCCGCCTCTGTCTGTGTTGTTTGCTGCCAAACTATTAAAATAATTGATCAGTTCGAAGTGGAATTTGCCTATAGGAACACTTGATTAGTTCGAAGTGGAATTTGCCTATAGGAACACTTGATTAGTTCGAAGTGGAATTTGCCTATAGGAACACTAACCCGAATAATTCAGTCGTTATATTCCACTTCTCTACGATGGCTACATTAACGCCTGAAGGCCTTGTCAATCAAAAATCGTCAAATAATCATTCGGAATTAGCTCTGGATTTACCTATCTCAATAACATTGAGTTAATAGCTGATTGGCTCTCTCACCCAGAGGGCACCAATCAAAATCCTCGATTCATGACGCGTTTTTATTGTATAAAGAATTCAGGCGAGTGGGAGAGTCGATCACGGGGTGGGACTGAATTATTCGGGTTATAGGAACACTTGATTAGTTCGAAGTGGAATTTGCCTATAGGAACACTTGATTAGTTCGAAGTGGAATTTGCCTATAGGAACACTCGATTAGTTCGAAGTAGAACTGGCTTATATGGACACTTCATATCATCTTGGGAGTTCAGTCGCAGTACTCGGTCTAGTTATTTATTACTTATAGCAAAATAAAAAAATATTTCTATTAAATCAGTTTCTGCAAACGACTGTTAAAAGAATATTGAATCATAATGATTCTATCTAGCATTTACTCCAACAAAAATACATTATTGCACTAGTATTGCAATATTGCACACAACACATATTTTAAATTCGAAGTGTGTTTGAAGTAGATTCGCAATAAAGTCTGGTTTAATTCTTTTTTTTGTTGTTGTAGTTTTGATGCTATAACCATGCATTAAATCTAGATCTGATTCATTTTCATTAGTTAAGAAAATATCATTGAAAGAATGAGTATAGTTAAATTTTCTTTGAATTAAAACCCGTTGCCATCCAAAATCGATCAAATATTATACACATGAATATCTGTAATATCCCGTACATACTGCATGTTCAATGTAAATATATTGAAAGGCTGTAACAGGTTGTACGTATGACTAATGCTATAAGTATATGATTTATATTTATACAATTTACTTATAAATTAACTGAAGGACCCAAGTAATGTACTATGTACGTCTTTGAATCGGAATTGTTGAGTTCCGTTAGAGCTCTCAACTTGCATTTAATGCAGAATATGTTAAAATAGAACATGTCGCCTAGTTCCTTCTTTGGGTTACACTAACATTTGATAAATTTCACTAATGTGACGCTTCAAAGAAACATTGTTTAAATTCAATCCGACAAATATACCATGTTTTTCTTTACAATTTTTCATGATTATCAATTTTAATATAATGTTTTGAAAATTATGCATTTTGAATAAGAAAAATCAGATTTGGAACATACAGATTCCTAGTATTTAGGATAGTCGAAAAAAAATCCTCCACATGCACGGAATTGAAAAACATTCAAAATTCTCTTTAGAAAATCAGTATCCAATTAAATAAATTTGCATATAAATGATAAGCATATTCTCCTTAAGATTTAAACAAAATTCATCCTCGTGATAACGTTGGATTAATTCCAGGACAGAGCGCACGTTCTTTCAAGATTGGATTGGAATGCCCTGAACTTGACAGTATGTATGGTATATTTTCACCCACGCTTGGTGGCATTCTTACGAATGTTGAGATCTAACAAAACATACTTAACCCCGCCGCATTTTTGCGCCTGTCCTAGTCAGGATTATCTAGACTTTGTTAGTCATGTGTGTTTTTCATTTTGGTTCCTCTGTATTTTTCGGAGTATAGTGGTGCGTCCATTTCGCTGAACTAGTATATATTATTGTTTAGGGGCCATAGGAAAGCCGCCCCCGGGGAGTACGGGATTTTTGCTGCGTTGAAGACCCATTGGTGGCCGTAGGCTATTTTCTACTGTTTGGTCGGGTTGTTGTCTTTTTAACACATTACCAGTTTCCATTCTCTATTCGTAAGCTTTGTGTGTATGGTTTTGTGAACTGGTTGTTTCTCTTCAAGCCCATGGTGTTTTTCTTCGAATTATGGTTTTCTACTGCCATCTTGATATCTTATCCTTGGTGTTATTAAAACATACCACAAATTCTAAAATGGCGACTATATATATAGTATAATTACTATCTAATAATACTCTTAAAAATCCGAAAAGCAATTCATTTGTATAATTTTCAAGATCGAAATATTTTTTCTATCATGATGTTGTTAATACATGTAATTTAACAGTACATAATCATATCATGAATATATTTGCATACAATCTATTCATTTGCAGTACAATTTTACAATAGGTGGATAAATATATTTTGGAGTTTAAATGTGTCGTTGGGTTGATTTCTAATCGACGAAAATCCAACAACTATTTTTCGTATACAGAAAGTTTGATATATAAATATATATATATATATATATATACGAATCAATATCACTACAGTTACATACCATCTGAAAACAATCTTCTTGACAACGATGACACTCTTTTGTCCATTTGTTCGTAATTTACTGTCAAGTTCTCAATTCTGGATATGAGTTCAGACAGACGACCTGTTGTGAACATATGCGCTGTCGTATGATTGTTCACGGCGTTCTCGATTCCCTCTCGTGCAGAAGCTTGCTCTTTGAATGCCATTTCTAATAATAACAGTTTATCACCGAGTTCTGAAAACACAAGATTCCAAGGACAGTCTTCGTTATCAAGGCACTCTTTTGTTGACCTGTCAAAATGGGCGTGGTTCATCAACGACGACGTCCGATAACCAGAAGCGTTGATGAGAAGCGTCACAATTAAATGAACAGTTGCTATAAGGCCAATAGTTGCGAACAAGAACCTGCAAAAGACACGTATGTTTAAAATGAAAAACTTAAAAGATTTAAGAAAATGTCTCATGGACGCGTGATTCACGAAGGGCACAGTCGTTAAAGTATGGCACATCAATTAATGAATCATAAAGAAAAAGCGAGAAATAAAATCAAAACGATTTGCCTGTATTCCTAAAATTCAAAATTATTTTAGTTTTATCCTTTACTTACAAGACTAATTTAAAGATAATATTTTCAAAAAAGTTTGACACAAGAACGCGCACTTTCTATGCGACAAACTATCTTACCCTACACCAAGACCTATCTTAGTGATTATCGCTTTTGACATTCTTCTAGATTTAACCGAATAGTTAATCCAAGTTTTGCGGAAATCCACAGCAACATAGCCGATGATGTTTTCCAGCAAAAATGTCGTTTACCAGCAAAATCGATGAACAGCGGTGTGACATATGGTAGTTTTCTAGACTTGATGTATAGATCCAGTTTAAAGAAATAGTCGTTGACAGCTGCGCATACCTGGTTAATTTAATGTATATAAATTCACAACAACGATATAAACTGCATTATTCTTTCTGTGAAGTTCTCTTGTTAAAAACTTTTGCCAGCTATGTGATGGGTGTGAACTTCGTACAATTTAAAATTAATGTTTAAATACAGTGTTAAAACGGTTTGAAAAAGGAGAAAGCAGCAAATATTTCCTCCGTGTTCCTGATAAAAATATTTGAGTGTAGGGGTTTATTATAGATCGATTGTTTTATAATTTAATTTCTTACACCGCCGTAGCATTTATATTAAAGTCCTTCGATGGACTGATAATCATGGCGGCCATTTTGGATCTCAAAGGATTGGTATAGATAGAAATATAATTTTCTGGCATGAGTTTTCATTTACGAAAAAAATGAATGTCATGTCGATCAAACTATCATTAACAAATAAAGAAAGTCAGAATTTTACTTTTAAAAATGGATATGAAAGGGGAGGTACTATCATAGTTACTGATGACAGCACAATTTATGTTTTGACAATGAGGGGGGAAATTATTTAGAGGGGCCCCAAAACTAGACAAAATTTGTAGTGGAACCGGTAAAAAGTCTAGATTAACCATAAATGAAACTCTATATGGGGGCTCGAGCACCACGCCCCCCCCCCTAAATCCGCCTCTGGACAGTTCCAAAAGTACAGATGTAGTAAACAAAACAAAATAAATGGTTCAAATTTGTGTCGTTGGGTTGCTGGCTCTTTGATGTTTAGCCCGCATATTTGTTTACTCATATGAAAAGGGGTGTACTCGTGCAACTAAGGTATGCGTATTTTTTTATGTTGTGTGGTCTAATATCATCGTAATAATTTTTGGTCCTTAATAATGTTAAAAATAGTGACGTTTTGAAATGCAACACCATTCCGGAATTGGTCAATTGTGCACATTTAAAAACAAACAACATACCAATTTCATATCCGCATAAATACAAGACAAATAAAGTTGAATAAACAAATCCCAAAAACAAAGCTAATTCGGTGCCAGATTCGCAATTACCATTACATCGGAACTTCATATGTATACAATGATAGTGATAAAGAAAAGGTTATCATATCAGTTCTAAATACAGTGGATCCAGGGGGGGGGGGTTGGGGTGGGGGGTTGTAACCCCCTTTTTTGACGATCATTGTTTTTGAATGGGGACATATGGTTAGAAATCGGACTTCTTTTGACGATCATTGTTTTTGAATGGGGACATATGGTTAGAACCTTCCTCCTTTTAAAAATTGTTAGATCCTCCCCTGAAATGAGCATTTATATTCTAAAAGATCAAAATATGTAGCTTCAAATGCAATGTCCAATATTATGTCAATTACGCAGTTACTTTGGTAATACAAAACGCATTAAATGCGCAATATTTGTCAGTGTTATATAAACAGTTCCAAAGGCGTAGCAGCTATCAGTGTGAAACTACAGTGAATGTAAAAATATGATTGACAATGAGACAGCTTTCCACCAGAGTTCAAATGATGTAGAAGTTAACATATTTAAAATGCCGACTATGAAGCGGGGAAATGGTGAATCGAAATCAAGAGAAAAGGAACTCTTCGAGCGAAAAAGGTGACAAAATCAATAGTTTACTTTCATCGGGAATCATACTGATTTATAGCTATCTTAATTTTGAAACCATTATCATTCATATTAAAAAAAACAAACAAACAATTGTTTAACTCTTTAATTGAAATATACTTGAAATTGCAATTTGTCTTCTTTTCGTTGTTTATCGAAAAAGTTGAATTATAGAAGCTTGTAAAAATAATATTTAAAACAAAAAAAAAATCTTAGCTGCATTTCTGTTTAGAAAATAAGGTAAACTATGTCTATTCAATATCCCGAGTTCTTTCAATACATCCATGTGTCCCATATGGAACATAGTGTGAAACAATTTCCCGGAAAAAATTTCCAATAAGTTTTCGAGCTCACCAGTCTGCTCATTGTCACAGGAACTCTCAATATAAATATATTATCTGCATATGAAAATGGCTATTTAAAGTATATTAGAATGTCTATTCAACTATCAGTTCGACTTGAAAATTAAAGGAAAATATAAAAGGAGTTTAATTTCAGTGTTTTTCACTATAGCTTTGCCATAGTATGAAGTAATTTTGACAATAGGAAATGCAAAGTATCGATAAGCACGAAAGCTACGGTGGCTTTATCCGCGCGGCAATTTACGGAGGTATTCTGTATCAAATACACTGTATCTGCAAGTGTAAAGCTATAATAACTTTATCCATGTACTTTACGGCAAAATTCTGTACCTTATACACATTATCTGTGAGTGTGAAAGCTACAGTATCTATATCCGTACAGTTTTCGCAGATATTCTGTACCAAATACACAGTATATGTGGGTGTGAAAGCTACAGTAGCTTTATCCGAGGAGTTTACGGAGGTACTATGTACTAAATACACAGTATCTGTGAATGTGAAAGATGAAATAGCTTTATCCGTGCATTTACGGAGGAATTTTGTTTCAAAAATGCATTCAGTATGCGTGAGGGTGAAAGCTACGGTTGCTTTATCCGTGTAATTTACGGAAGTGTTCTGTACGAAACGTGCATGCGTATGTGTGAGTGTGAAAGCTACGATAGCTTTATCCGTGCTATTTACTGAGGTGTTTTGTTTCAAACATGCATGCAGTATATGTGAGTGTGAAAGCAACGGTAGCTTTATCTGTGTAATTTACGGAAGTTGTCTGTAGCATACGTGCATGCAGTAGTTTTATCCGTGTAGTTTACGCAGGTATTCTGAAGAAAATACACAGTATCTATATGATTGTGAAAGCTACAGTAGCTTTATACGTGCCGTTTACGCAGATAATCTGTACCAAATACACAGTATATGTGTGTGTGAAAGCTACAGTAGCTTTATCCGTGGAGTTTACGGATGTCTTATGTACCAAATACACAGTATCTGTAAGTGTGAAAGCTACAGTAGCTTTATCCGTGCAGTTTACGGGGATATTATGTACCAAATACACTGAATCTGTGAGTGTGAAAGATAAAATAGCTTTATCCGTGCATTTACGGAGGTATTTTGTTTCAAACATGCATGCATTATATGTAAGGGTAAAAGCTACGGTAGCTTTATCCGTGTAAATACGGAGATGTTCTGTACCCAACGTGCATGCAGTATATATGTGATGGGAGTTTGAAAGCAACGGTTGCTTTATCCGTGTAATTTACGGAAGTGTTCTGTACGAAACGTGCATGCGTATGTGTGAGTGTGAAAGCTACGATAGCTTTATCCGTGTTATTTACTGAGATGTTTTGTTTCAAACTTGTATGCAGTATATGTTAGTGTGAAAGCTACGGTAGCTTTATCCGTGTAATTTACGGAGGTGTTCTGTTCCTAACGTGCATGCAGTATATGCATGTGAGTGTGAAAGCTACGGTAACTTTATCCGTGTAATAGACGGAAGTTGTCTGTACGATACGTGCAAGCAGTAGTTTTATCCGTGTAGTTTACGGAGGTATTCTGTAGAAAATACACAGTATCTGGGATTGTGAAAGCTACAGCAGCTTTATTCGTGCAGTTTACGTAGATATCCTGAAGCAAATACACAGTGTCTGTAAGTGTGAAAGCCCCGGTAGCTTTATCCGTTTAATTTACGGGGGTGTTCTGCACAAAACGTGCATGCAGTATATGTTAGTGCGACAGGCGTTTTGTTCCAAACATTCATGCAGTATATGTGAGTGTGAAAGCTACGATAGCTTTATCCGTGTAATTTATGGAAGTGATCTGAACCATACGTGCATGCAGTATACTAGTATGTGAGTAGCTTTATCGTTCCATAATTTACGGAAATATTTTGTACTTAATGCACAGCATTTGTGAATGTGAAAGCTACGTTAGTTTTTATCAGCGCAATTTAATTGGGAATTCTGTGACCAATGCGCAGTATCTGTAAGTGTAATAGCTGCAGTATCTTTATTCGTGCAGTTAACGGAGGTATTCTGTACCAAATACACAATATCTGTACATGAGCAGTAGTTTTATCCGTGTAGTTTACGGAGGTATTCTGTAGCAAATACACAGATTCTGTGATTGTGAAAGCTACAGGGGCTTTATCTGTGCAGTTTACGCAAGTATTCTGTATCAAATATCCATCAGTGTCGGTGTGATAGCTACATTATCTTTATACGTGTCGTTTACGGAAGTATTCTGTATCAAATATACATCAGTGTCGGTGTGATAGCTACAGTATCTTTATACGTGCAGTTTACAGAAGTATTCTGTATCAAATATACATCAGTATCGGTGTGATAGCTATAGTATCTTTATACGTGCAGTTTACGGAAGTATTCTGTATCAAATATACATCAGTGTCGGTGTTATAGCTACAGTTATACGTGCAGTTTACGGAAGTATTCTGTACCAAATATACATCAGTTTCGGTGTGATAGCTACAGTATCTTTATGCGTGCAGTTTACGGAAGTATTCTGTATCAAATATCCATCAGTGTCGGTGTGATAGCTACAGTTTCTTTATACGTGCAGTTTACGGAAGTATTCTGTATCAAATATCCATCAGTGTCGGTGTGATAGCTACAGTATCTTTATACGTGCCGTTTACGGAAGTATTCTGTATCAAATATACAACAGTGTCGGTGTGATAGCTACAGTATCTTTATACGTGCCGTTTACGGAAGTATTCCGTATCAAATATCCATCAGTGTCGGTGTGATAGCTACAGTATCTTTATACGTGCCGTTTACGAAGGTATTCTATACCAAATTCTAGTACACAGTATCTGAGAGTGCGAGAGCTTCAGTATCTTTATCTCTGCTGTTCACGTAGGAATTATGTACCAAATACAGAGTATCTGTGAGTGTGAAAGCTACAGTAGCTTTGTTAGTACAGTTTACTGCGGAGGTATTCTGTACCAAATGCACACTATATGTTAGTGTGAAAGCAA